CAACTGGGTCACCTTTTGGCTTATCAGGCCCATTAATGATGATTAAATGATGATTATATTGGCGTCTTTATAAAAGCGTTTATAAATAACTACCGATAGCAGTGCAATTTCCTTCATTTCCATTATCATTAAATGCGAATTAAGAGTAAAAAGAAATAAATAAACGAAATTAAGATCTCGAATAGAAACATCTATAGTATAATCTCCTTGAAAACAGCTGTTAAATGGCTTTCGTTCGATTTCGACGCTTATAAATCATTTTATTACTAAAGTAATTATAGATTCTAGGCGATAACAGTTTATTTTTGTATTAGAAACTTTTGATTAGGCGATTAGATGGTTGATTGCATGCATAGTATGATGCAGTCAAATGTTTAGTGCATGTGACTAAAGTATATAGCTGGGCTTTCTTCCACAAAAGGTAACATTTTTAAGGTGATGTCTGTTTTATTTCTTCACATAAGCTATTTACTATGCCCACAATGGCCGAAGTAATAATCTTTCCTATTTGTGAAGCAAAATAATTTCTCAATTTATTGATATTACGTTATTGTAAGCCTCGTTAAAGCATATGTAAATATTTTGTTTATAAATAGAGAAACCTTCTATAATCTCTATCCATCAACCAGTCAGACAATAAGTCACTCAGTCAGGACAAAGAGTATTGATTAAATATTGAATTTATGTAATTGAGCAACCTGTAAACAATTAACAAAATATTCCTTTGAATTTTAAATCCATTTGATGGAAATTAGTAAAGGGTTGGCACTCTTATCTGCCAAATGTTACAAATTATAGTGAATACTGGAAAATTTGCCTTTATGACGTCAATCGAATAGACACGACGTCTGTGATTGACAGCAACGTGTAGGAATAACGGGATCATTTTTATATGTAGTGCATTCTCTATATGCATGATTATAAGTAAATGAATATGGTGAATACTATATATAAGTAAAGATCAGCTAGGTGAAGAAAAGCTCTTACCGAGTCTGAAGCAAATGAAGAAAGGTTTTGAAAGGTATTGATGGAAAAAATTAATTATCCTTTATAAACATTTATTTATAATTTAGGTACGGAAAGACTTCAGAAAATCAAAAGTCTGAATTACAATGAAAGAGGATATGAAATTGGTTTAGCAAAACGAAAGTTGAAGTTTATATATGTAAATTAAAGATAATTTGTGAAAAGTTTTCCATTGTTTAAATATTATACATATCTAATCGTTAGCTTATCAAGTAGATGTGGGTCTTATCAGGGAAATGTTATGTGAGGTCTTTTTGGTTTTTTTTATTTTTTATTTTTATTTTATGTTTAAATTATTGTTGTTGCTAGCCAGTCGCGCAACTAGCAGCACTATATAGTATATATATGTTTTATGATTGGCCATTCACCTGCTTCCTCTTCCAATGTTAAGTTCAATGACTAAATTTAAAAGTGATTTGTTATTGCTGCCGATCCCGGGAGATGTTTTATATAATTATATATAAATATAAATATATAAGGCCCCGTCGGCATCAAAAAGTAAA